TTTTAAATTATTTTCTTTTTTACATCTAATCATCGCACCAATACGAATACTTACGAAATAATAAATAAAACTGATTATAACAAATAAATAACTCAAAATAATATAAAAAAAATTTGCAATTTTAAAATTAATAATTTAAAAATAATAAATTAATTAATAATTATAAAAATAATAATTAAAAATAAATATTTTTAAAAAATAACCTAAAAAAATTTAACAAAATAAAAATATAAAAACATAATAAAATAAAAATAATGCAATTAAACATACATTAAAAATGCAAATTAATAATAATTAACAATACATATAACAATAAATATTAAAATATAAAAATAAATATAATAAAAAATACAATTTAAAATAAAAAATAATTCATATAAATTAATAAATAAATATAAATAATAATAACAATATGCTCTAAATAATTATAACCATAAACAATTGAAAATAATCTCAAATAATTAAAAATATTTTTTTATAAATATTATAATACATATAACAAAATTGATATCAACAAATAAAGCAGCTGCAGGAACAGGATCCTACTAATCTATACTTAGCAAATTTACCACCACGGTACAATGAAGCTGATCTTGAGAGTTTGCTCATGACATATGGTCAAGTAATTTCTACACGTGTATTACGTGATTCACTTAGAAACTCAAGGGGTATGAACAATTTAAAAAGAAGCATTATTTTTTCTGATCGCATATATAAAATGGAATACTTTAAACTCTTTTCCAGGTGTTGGATTTGCTCGTTTACAAACACGTGAGGAGTGCGAACGTATAATAGAAGCATTTAAGGGGTGCACTTTGCCTGGCGCAAATGATGCCCTTCTCATTAAATATGCCGATGGTGGGCCCAAGAAGAAGCAGCCATTTAAGCCAATGGATATTAATGATCGTGCTTGGCGCATTAGCTCCGCTGAAGGTATACCTGTTACCTATGATCCGGCAATGCAACAAAATGGTGTTGGAGTTAATGTTGGCACTCCAATTGGTGTCTCATATTCACGTTTCGGTGCATCACAAGTTGGTGGTTATTCAATGGCAGGTTCTCCATGGATACAAGGTTATATGATGCCACAAGCTATCACACCAGACGAGCAGGTATTAATTGTTTATAGATTTTAAAAATATTTTCTATTAACCTTTGGGTAATTAATGGGTGAAGGATAATATTTCTTCTAGATAAGGGAAGGGTAGGAAAGGAGGGTATATTCCATGAGTTTTTAAATTTCTCTTTCATTAAGAGAAGCAATTTTATTTTTTTTTTAAATTTTTTTACTGGTTTGGACATTAATATGACTTAATTTTGTCTGCTTTAGCAGTTAAAATAAATATATTTTTAATTTATATATCTGGGGCGTCTTGATTTGACAACTGTTTTAAATAAAGTAAGCTATATGCTAATATAGCTTAGTTCTCCTGCTATTAAACTTCAATATTGAATGTTTTTACTTTAAAATTTCCAACAAACAAAACTTTATTTCAAGGCGCCATGATTTTACAACGGATTTAAGTAAAGTGCACATTCTTAGCTACTTTTTTCATTATGATATATGCCAATATAGTTAATCAGATGGCGCGTCTACTTCTTTCTACCAGTTTAACATGGTGTCAATGTTAAAATTGCTATTACTAATTCTCATTAGATGGTGTAGATATATAATTTTTTTTAGTGTAATCAATATAAAACGTGCACAACTTCTGACGTGCCGGAACATCTCTAGAACTAAGCAGTATCGGTACATTGTGTAGTGGAAAAAATAAAGTTGATTTTGACTTAAATCCTTTATCAAATCGGAGCACCCTAGAAATAGAAGTCTTGCCAAATCTCTTTATCTTTTTTGGCTATATGTATTTAAAAAATTTTATTGATTTTAATAAAATAATTAAATAAAATAGTTATTTATATAATTTCAATATAATTGTATGTATGTAGCGATTTCTATTTTATTTTTATATTTTATATTTATTTTTGTTTTTGTAATTTCAGAATTGCTGAAAATGTTTCCAATATAGTACCTTATAAATTAACTGAAACCATTTATTTTCCTCTTATTTCAGTATATACAGATGGCCGCTGCCTCTCAGTTGGGAGTAGCTTCCTATAAACCAGATGCCATTAATCAATTGCCACCACGTGGCATGATGATGGTTAGCGGCGATACTGCAATGCCATATGGCGCAATGATGCCACAAATCGCAACCTTGCAACCGGTTGGCAATCCAGTAAGTATAAATATTTTTGTTTTTTTTTTTTTGAAAAAACCAAAAAAAAAACGTTTTAAAAAGTAGTTAAATTTTGAACAACGGAGAGAAAATATTGCATGATAAAATACTGCTTGGATTTCGAAGTGTTTAAATAGCTACCGTTACAACACTACGTAATATTTAAAGAAGTTGAAATTTTGAGTATGTTCCCTAATAATATAATATATACACATATGTACATGCATTTATCTCCTTAAAAACCTGGCTAACAAATTTTTTTTTTGACAAACTTCTTTTGTACCAAGTTTATACCTAGGATTAAAATAATTTTCTTATAGCGTATCTCTTCATCGTTACAGTATATTAATACGACTTATCCATATTATGTATCACCAACAATTATTCCGGCAATGCCAATGACAGATTCTGAACAGGCCAGCACAGCTGCGTCACCCGACGAGGCATATATACAGTATTCACACCCAGCCGTTGCTCCCTAATAGCTTTGTGCGAGGTGAGTGAGTGTGTATGTCGAAGAAAGAGAATACAATAAAAATAAATTAACAAAAAAAAGAAAAAGAATATAACAAATATTGGCATGGTGATAGGGAGTTGTGGAGAGAAGTGTGTGGGAAATTAGTTGTTGCATGCAATTTAGCGGAAGTTATTTTGATTGCCTTTATTATTATAAGTCCTCTGACACACAACAACAAAAATGGCAATAGCAATATTTATTTGTACATTCATTTTCCGAAGCCTTTAGCTTTATTTTAACTTTTCATTTATGGCATACGCTTATGTTACGCGTTTATCCTTAAGCTTGTAAATAACATCCCATTTATTAATCATCATTACCATACTCATCATCAAGTATACATCTAAACGCTTTGGCTACAGCTCCTTTTTGTGTTCCTTAAATGCTTGCCTGCCACTTTGTCTGCTGCTCCTTTTGCTGCTCGCCTGTTCGTTTGCTCTTCTTCATTTAATCTTAATCTCCTAAATCACTCACTTCACTTTAGTTCATTTGTACTTTTTTCTGTTCTTTTTGTTTTAAGTATGCTTAACCAGTAACTTTTTTACTACTTACTTAAAGCCTGCAATCAATAATTTAATTAGCCTTCTTAATTATAAATTTTTCTAATGACAACTCCTCTTCTGTCTTATCTTCTTTCAGTTGGGTACAAATTAAGGTAGAAATGCAGCGTTCCTTCCCTGATTGTGCACAATCTTTTGATGTTAGTCTAATAAAAAA